CCTTGTTATGGGTCTGTTGAGACTTTCTACTTGGGTAGGTTGTGTGCTTCTAAGAATTTGTGCATTTCATCTAGGTTATCCAGTTTGTTGCCATGCAGTTATTCATAATATCTGTCATAATTCTCTTTACTTCTTTTGGGTCAGTTGTAATGTCCCCCCTTTCATTTCTCATTTGGGTTATTTGCATGTTTCCTCTTTGTCAATCTACCTAAAGGTTTGTCAATTTTATTGATCTTTTCAAAGTACCAACTTCAGTTTTATTGATTCTATTATTTTTCTGTTTTTGATTTTATTTATTTCTGCTCTTATATTTGTTATTTTCTTTCTTTTAGTAGGTTTAGGCTTAGTTTACTCTCCTCTTTCTAGTTCCTGGAGCTGTCAACTTAGGCTATTAATTTGAGATCTTTCTTCTTTTCTCATGTAGGCATCGTGTAGGCTATATGTTTCCTTCTGAGTACTGCTTTCATTACATTCCATAAGTTTTAGTATGTTGTGCTTTCATTTTCATTTAACTCTAAGAAATGTGTGATTTATCTTTTGATTTCTTCCTTGACCTATCAGTAGTTTAATAGTGTGTTTTTTACTTTCCATATGTTTGTGTGTTTTCCAGTGTTTTTTCTTGTTATTGATTTCTAGCTTCACTCCATTAGGATCAGAGAAAATACTTTGTATGATATCAATCTTTTAAATTTATTTAGACTTGCTTTGTAACCCAACATGTGGTCTATCCTGGAGAATGATCCATATGCACTAGAGGTGCCCCAATGTTGGGTGCTGTCATGGACTGAATTGTGTCCCCCAACAATGTGTCAGCTTGGTTAGGCCATGATTCCCAGTATTGTGTGGTTGTCCTCCATTTTGTGATTGATGTGATTTTCCTATGCGTTGTAAATCCTAATCTCTGCCTGTGGTTAATGAGGCAAGATTAGTTTAGGTTGAAGAGGATTAGGGTGGGATGTAACACCCTTTCTCAGATCACATCCCTGATTCAATGCAAATGGAGTTTCCCTGGGGTGTAGCCTACACCACCTTTTATCCTATAAGAGATAAAAGGAAAGGGAAGGGAGCAGAGCAGGAAACCTCATACCACCAAGAAAGCAGTGCTGGGAGCAGAGCGCATCCTTTGGACTCGGGGTTCTTGTGCAGAGAAGCTCTCGACCAGAGGAAGATTGATGACACAGACCTTCCTCCAGAGCCGACAGAGAAAGACTTCCCCTGGAGCTGGGGCCCTGAATTCGGACTTCTAGCACTAGACTGTGAGAGAATAAACATCTCTTTGTTAAAACCATCCACTTGTAGTATTTCTGTTATAGCAGCACTAGATGACCAAGACAAGTGCATATATATTTATGATTGTGAAATCTTATTAATTGACCCTTTTATCACTATATAATGTCCGTCTTTATCTCTGCTAACAGATGTTGTCTTAAAACTTACTTTGTCTGATATTAGGATTGCTACCCCAGCTCTGTTTTGGTTATTATTTGTATGGGATATTTTTTCCCATCCTTTCACTTTCAACCTATTTGTGTCCTTGGGTTCAAGGTGTGTCTCTTACAAATAGCATATAGTTGGATCATGGTTTTTATCCATGCTGCCACTCTCTGCCTTTTGATTGGAGCATTTAGTCCATTTACATTCACTGTAATTACTGATAAGAAGTGACTTACTTATGCATAGGCTGGTAATTCTAAGCACTTTATAGCCCATCACAAAGTGTTCTTTTTTTCTGAATTGCACTGAATTAACAAACAGGGTAGACAGGGAGAATTTCCTTCACTGTATGGAAAGGATGCTTTTTTTTTTTTAGGGTAGGAACCTGACCAAAGTGAACACTGGCTCTCACTTGAGATCCGTGCACCTCTCCATTTGAACCCAGTACCTCATTTCCCAGAACACTGGACGCCCTTGTCTGCCTCCTTGGCTACTGACAGTGTATTAACCAATGGAAAGTGGCTATGCCTGGGAGTTGTGATGCTAATGAAAGGAAGTGGAACGTCAGTTTTCTACTGATGGCTTCGCATTGAGGTTTCTTATGCCCAGTTGACCGGGAGCCGTCAGCGAGAGACACGGCCCAGCCCCTGGCGGCCCGGTGTGGAGTAGAAGGCCCGGCGGAGCAGAATCTGCCGCAAGATCTACTCTGCGCTTGGAACGGGGCGGGGTGCCAGAGAGCGGGAGATGACGCCGTTGGTCCAAAGCTGCTCTGCGGTAGTCGCGGGAGGCCAGAGAGGCTAGCATCTGCAGATCCGCTCTAGGGGTACAACCTACGGTCCTGGTAGCTAGAAGGTTGGAGCTAGCACCACCGCTGTAGAACTGGGCTTCCCGGGATTCCGAGTCCTTTGAGGAGGTCTTGACCAGGACTACATTCCCCAGAAGGCTCTGCGGTGATTGAAAGCTCGATCAGCCTATGGACGGGGAAGACTTCTCGTCATGGAAACTGATTGGCCAATGGCAAAAAAACACGGAGGCGGTATTTTCCGGCCGCTGGCTGACGAGCCTAGAGTCCCACCTGTGTCCCACAGCCCTGTCACGAATCCCGCTCGAGTTCTGTGAGGGACCGCCTCGGCGTTGCCGGCCGGTTGCAGGCTCGGCGGTTGAGGACTCTCACTTCCTGCTCCATCCCCGCCTGGGCCCTGGGGCGGTGAGTGCTCCAGGGAAGGAGAAGGCGGCGGCGGTCCCGGCACGGCTGAGGGGCGTTGAGGGGGCTCTCCCGCAGCCCCGACGCTGTTTCAGCCGAGTCGGGCGCTCGCATTCCGGAGCCGCGGGTCTTTCCGAGGTGCAGAGAGAGGTAGCTGCGGTTTCCCAGCCCACTGTCGGGATAGTTGCTTCTCTTAAACAATTTTCTTGCTCCTCCGTGGTGGTCCTCGGGTTTCAGCTTATTTTTGTGACCCGCTGACCTCTGCACCCTGCGAAGGGCCTGCAGCCCGGCGGGGAAGGAGAGCGGGTGTCTGCCTCAACTGTTCGGTCATGTGCCTATTAATAAACCCAGTGAACAAACTGGTGCTTCTCACAGTGGCACTTAGTCACAGCACCTCATCGCTGTAGGGCCTTTGGGGTCACCGGCACCGCGGGCAAGAGACTGCGTGAGAAACAGGCTTTCCGTTACCATGCCCTCTCCCTCTCCATCACGCGGTCTCCTGCGAGTAGGCTCTGCAGTTGTGTTTTGCAGTTATTGTAGAAATAAAATTTAAACTCAAAATTCTTATTAAAATGGTCATTCCTAATGACATTATTTTTGTTAAGATTTTAAACCAGAGATATTCCTGTGGTTTTTAGGTCCTTAAAAACTCGGTACTTTATAAATGACCAATAGCAATGTCTGAAAATGCATAAGTATTTTCACAAAAAGTGTGTGTGTATATGCTAGTAGTGCGCAGGTGCTTTGATTAGTGAGACAGAAGATGTGAAAGAGTAAAACCTCCTCACCCCAACCTGGTCCATCCTTCATTGAAAATGCAGAATTCTTTGTAGCAGGTGGTCATTCAGCCAGCTGAGTTGAGTTTATTTTTATTTCTACTGTAAACTGTTTAAGGGAAAAATCTTATGTTTTTTTGTGACTTTCTGTTTCTTTAATGCCTTGCAGCATATTAATTATTGATTGCATTACTGATCCATTCAGTAAGCAACTCTGGACCAGCCCCTCAAAAAAATAATTTTTCATAATACTGCTCTCTGTTGTGTTAATATATTAACAATGATTGTGTCCCCAAGCATTCTGCTTACCTCATTGCATTTCACTTATTTTGCAGCTTACTAGTGTCTTTTTTTTTAAAAAAAAAAAACTCTTGTCTTTTAATGTCTCATTTCTGACTCCATTGAACCTTGAAATAGAATGGTACTCAGGACAGTTCCCTTGGAGGCTCTGCATAGTCTGTCTTGTGAGGCTGATACCAAATCACTGGGCTACAAGCCAGGAAGAGTCAGCTGTTTTCATAACTAATATGAGCATAATTAAGTCCACAACTTCCTAGCTTGCTGGGGAAAATGTAGTTGGAGAGAATCCAAGGCTTTCCAAAAATCAAGTTATACCTGCACACTCTCCTTTGTTTTTCCTGTCATCTTAAAAATGTAATGTATTCAAAAGACTAAGGGTTCTGAAGATGTGTGTGGGAGGCCCAGGCCTCTCTTAGTGATAGAAAAGTTGGCCAAGAGAAGAATGATGTAAAAACCCGAATAAGAAAAGCAACCTTTCTGTGGTTGATGGAATTTACCTCAGAGCTGTTCTAATCAGGAGGGTTTTTGCTTGGGGATAGTGGTGGCCATGGTAGCCATCTTTTGGTTTTCAGAGCACATAAGAATATCCTGGGAACTATTGATGTATATTGAGGTCTCTTGCTTTAGGAACTGATGACTCTAGATGATGTGGCTGAGGACTTCAGGGAAGAATATATTACCTGGATGCTGCTTAGAGAATCCTCTCCAGGGATGCCACCCAACACAGTTAGAAGAATGGGCTCTTAAAGGGTAAGAATGCTACTCTCCTTTAAGTGTAAGACAGATATTTTGAGAGAGCCCAGGTATGAGTGGTCTTTGGGGATGTTGGTTTCTTAGAGCTCCACATCTCTGAGATTGTTGCTTCCCTGTTAGAAAAAAAGAATAACTTCCATTTTTATGGCACTTTGTGGTTTGCAGATGTCTTTAATATTTATTGTCTTGTTAATATCTCACCACAGCCCTTTCATGTATGCATTATCATCCCCTTTTCAGTTAAGGACATTGAGACTCAAAAAAGTTAAGTGGCATAGGTGAAAATCAAACCCAGGTCTTTGTGGAAAAGAGGAGCTCTTCTGATGGTGTTGTTTTCTCCTGTTACGTCAAAAAACATGTCTAGTGCTCTTTCTAAAATACCATGGCTACCTCTTCCCCTGCTTTACTTCATATCAATTACACAAGGGATATATGCTTATTGAAGAAAAAGATAAGTAAAATGAAAACAAAAGTCATCCCTAATCCCACCATTGAAGAGTTACTATTCTTCTAGTCTTTTTTTCTTAGCAGATATATAATTAAAACACAAAAATTGGGATCATACTATGCATCCTACTTTCTTACTTGTAGTGTTATGAACATATTAATAAAACAATATCTTTCTGTACATTAGTTAAAACAACAACTTACTATTTTGTTGTATAGAATACAGTAATTTATATTAAACTATCTATTTGCCCATTTTTTAGATTATTTTGACCTGTAAAAATGGCAATTTCATATGGTTCAGTCAAATATTATTCCTTTGTGGTGAGACATTTAGGTCATTTCAGAATTTTCACTAATGTGATGAACATCTCTCAGCTAATTGTTTTTTTAAAGTCTTGCTTACTGAAGTATGATTAGCTAATAATTAGTCTTTTGTACAGCTTTTATCATTTCCTTAGAATTTCCAGAAGTAGCATTGCTGGGTCAAAGAAAATATGCATTTCTAAGGTATTTGATACTTTTTCCAAATACCTTCCAGAAAGATTGAATCAATTTTATTCCCACAAGCATTGTGTAGAAGTATATATTTATTGAGAACTTACATTTATTGAAAACTTACCAATTTAATCCCCACAATCACCCTATGAGGTATGTGTTATTATTATCTCTATTTTATAGATGAAAGCACTGAGGCACAGAGAGTTTAAGTAACTTGCTTAGGGTCACACAGCTAGTAAGGCAAGATTAGGATTCAAACCCAGGTGTGACTCTTAAGTTTGCACTTTTTACTTCTACAGTATAGTGCTAGGTGTATCATTGTTTTATAGGAGTCCTGGTAGTGCAGTGGTTAAGTGCTCAGCTGCTAACTGAAAGGTTGGCTGTTCGAACCCATCAGCAGCTTTGCAGGAGAAAAGACCTGGCATTCTGCTCCCGTAAATATCACAGCCTAGGAAATCCTATGGGGCAGTTCTACTCTATCATATGAGGGTCGCTATAAGTCAGAATAGACTCGACACAACACACCAACAACAACATCATTGTTTTAATTTGAATTTCTTTGGTTACTGGTGAGGTTAAAAGATTTTTCATGTATTTATAGGCTGCTTGAATTTTTTTTTTTATGAATTGCCTATTCACGTCCTTTGTCCATTTTTTTCCTTACAAGTGTTTGTCTTTTTTCTCATGATTATATCAACTGTTGCCCTTCTGGGAAAATTTTAAAGCCCAACATTATAGTTAACTTCCTTGATTCTTTCTAAGGGTGAGGTCATGGCAGCTTTGCTCCTGATAAAATTCTGTCTCCAGATGAGTTTGGCCTTGAATCTTCAGAGATGGGTTATTGTGCTACTCTGGGGTTTTTGTCAGCCAAGTCTGATTTTTTCTTTTTTTTTTAAGTGGGAGGAAAAGGTCTTTTTCTCAGCCTCTTGAGGAGATCCCGCTATATTATCACTTCACTATGGCTTCCCTTTTGATGAGACCAAACACTCATTAGATTTTCCCTGGGTTTCCCCTCTACCTAGGGAAGAAGGAGGGACTGGATTTTGGTCCAGCCTTATGTAATTGGCTCAGATTAACACCCTGTGTCCACTTTCTGTGTAGGATTTCTAGACCGAGTATAATCTCTCAGCTGGAACAGAAAGAAGAGTCATGGGTCCTACAACTCCAAAATTTTGAGGAGAGGGAGATCCTAAGGGAAAGTCACACAGGTGAGATGTGGGTACTCTTGGGGAAGGAAACCTAGCATTTCAGCCCTTGTTTAGATGAAGGATTTGGAAAGCTGCCCAGGCTTTTGTTCTCACTACTAGAACTTAAAATTTGACTTCTCTGTCAGTACTTGAGCAAATGAAATCTGCATTTTAAGTAAGCATTTCACTTTTATCTAGACTACAACATCTTTGAAAGGAGTTGCCTAGTTTTGACAATATATGGTATGCTCTTGAAGGATATCAGGGTGCACTTCAAGATTCATCTGACCATCTAAAAATAAAAAGGTTTGAGAATTCATGTTTTCTGTAAGCTTAATGAACTTTAATAAACTTTTCACAAAGGGTATATGGTCTGATGCTGAAATGGTAATTTTAATCTTTATTACTACTTTCTGATGTTCTTTCCTGGTAACTGATAACTTTATTTTCTGTTAATTTTTTAGACTTTGAGAATCAGGTGGCAAAACTCAATCAGAACACTTCTGAAACAGCAGAACAAGGTGGAACATCCTCAGAAAGGTCCAATAAAAATATTTCTCATACTCCTAGTTGGGGAAGAAACTGGGAGAGGGACCTTGAATTAGAAGGACAACATGTAACCCTTCCAGGAGAGGGCCAGCAGGAACCCTTTTCACAGGAGAGGGATTTAAACAAGCTCTTGGATGGATACATAGGAAAGAAGCCTGTGTGTGCAGAATGTGGAAAAAGCTTTAACCAGAGTTCCTATCTCATAAGACACCTAAGAACCCATTCTGGCGAGAGGCCTTATAAATGCATCGATTGTGGGAAAGGCTTCAAACAAAGTTCAGACCTTGTCACCCACCGCAGAACACACACAGGAGAGAAACCCTACAAATGCAATGGGTGTGAGAAAAAGTTCAGCGACAGCTCGACACTTAACAAACATCAGAGAAGCCATACAGGTGAGAGACCCTATGAGTGCCCAGAGTGTGGAAAGACTTTTGGACGGAAGCCACACCTCATAATGCACCAAAGAACTCACACAGGAGAGAAGCCCTACACATGCCTCGAATGTCATAAAAGCTTTAGTCGGAGCTCAAATTTCATCACCCACCAGAGGACCCACACAGGAGTGAAACCTTACAGGTGTAATGACTGTGGGGAGAGTTTTAGCCAGAGCTCGGATCTGATTAAACACCAACGAACCCACACAGGAGAACGGCCCTTTAAATGCCCAGAGTGCGGGAAGGGCTTTAGAGATAGTTCTCATTTTGTGGCTCATATGAGTACTCACTCAGGAGAAAGACCTTTCAGTTGTCCTGACTGCCACAAAAGTTTCAGTCAGAGCTCACATCTGGTCACACACCAGAGAACACACACAGGTGAGCGACCTTTTAAGTGCAATGACTGTGGGAAAGGATTCACCGACAGCTCTGCCCTCATTAAGCACCAACGAATCCACACAGGAGAAAGACCCTATAAATGTGGCGAGTGTGGGAAGAGCTTCAATCAGAGTTCCCACTTCATTACTCACCAACGAATCCACCTAGGAGACAGACCCTATCAGTGTCCTGAGTGTGGCAAAACCTTTAATCAGCGTTCCCATTTTCTCACACACCAGAGAACACATACAGGAGAAAAACCTTTTCACTGTAGTAAATGTGACAAGAGCTTCCGTCAGAAAGCACATCTTTTATGCCATCAAAACACCCATTTAATTTAGGAAGTAGACTTTAGTGATTCTGCTATCCCCTTCCAAATTTCCATTGCTTCTATATTTACATACCGCAGGGGAGAAAACCTGAGCCAGGGCATCAGGTGCAAGCTGGGCCCTGATCTATTCTCACTCTTTTTCCACGTGATAATGGAGAGGATATACCTATAGTGTTCATATATGTTCTGAACACAATAGGCATTCCTCTAGCGTTTTTAACTAGCTTTTGGGGAAATGTGAATTTAATGGTTGATGCCTGGTTATGAAAAGAAAAGTGAGATAAATCTGGCCTAGAGATCACATGTAAGCCACGTCTGCAGTGGCTGGCACAAAGTAGGTGCTCAATAAATGATTAATATTTGAGATCTTTTATAAAACCCCTAATACAGTGCCCATCCTTTAAAAGGCACTAGTACATGGTTGGTTGCTTTTATCAGCCTTATTACTGAATAAAGAATTAGGGCAGACCCCAAGCCCAAAACTTGCAAGAAGTTAGATTGAAACTAGAAGGTTTGGAGTGTTAGCACAGGGATTTAATAAAATGGGAAACCCTTTCCCAATCTAATGCTGGTCAGGCATTAGTCATCAGATGTCTCATTGCCATGACAAGGCAGAATTACTGAAGAGGATGTTTGTGGTCTTGCAACAGAATTTCAGAAGTTCTTTGTACAGCCATTTATGAGATAGAGGTAGAGGTTTGCTGTCATCTGAGGCATATGCTTTTTTCTCCCCTGGATTCTTGGAAAATATCCTATGATGAACAAGCCAGAGGAAACTGGAAGAGGACTGTAAAATTGTGGAAATGAAATTACTGAAAATGTTAAATGATATTACAGGGATTCTTGGCATTTAGCTAAAGAAGGCAATTGTTTTTTAATTTGCTGTGTCATTGGCCCTTTAGTTTTAGGTTAATGCACTTCTCTGATCCTTTTAGGGCCATTCATTTTATGCACTAGTATATTCCTACATTTAACTGAAATAAATTGAGAGAAGGAGGTGTATTGGAAAGAACACTGACTTCACTGAGAAGGTGAGTTTTTGAGTCATGGCCCTGGCACTTTCATTTGGCCCGACTCTCACTTTCTCTCATCCCCAAGTTATATTTACCTTACCTACTTCACAAGGTTGTTGTGGGGATCTAGTACTTATGTGTATATATGTACACACACATACACATCTATATAAAAGCACTTTGTTGTTAAACTATAAAGTATGATATTGCTAAAGGTTAATGTACAGTATTGTTGCTGATGTTTTTTTCCCAAGGAATGCTGGTTAATATTTTTCCAGGTGTCCCATTTTCTCTCACATTGAAGGAATTCTTTTTTTTTACAGGTTGAAAAACTAAGGCCTGAGAATGCTAAATGACTCATTATGGGTCACATAGTTAACAGAAGAGCCAAAATTTGGCCTCAGGTGTCTAGATTTCCGTTCTGCAGTCCTCCTCAACGATATGGAACAGACCAAGTTTGGGATTTACTAGAGTACCTCTGAGACTACAGGATTGAGGGACCCATATTACATTCTTAAACCAGTCTGAATTTGGAAATGATGGAGGGATTTAGCCTAAGTCCTAGGGAGCTTTAGTAGAATCCTGTATTGGTGGCCTTTGATCCTCATGGAGTGAGAGTAGAGAGGTAAGGGCAGGTGCAAGAGGTTAAGGAGGGAGTTCAATGGTTACCACTCTTGAAAGAGAGAAGTGGTGGACCTGGGGGTTTTTTTCCTCCAAGTCTCCCTGCATCAACACAGACTGAATTATTACATCAGCCTTGGAACACTAGTTCATTTTCTTCCGTTATATGGAATGCCATCTGAGTGCCATAACTCATGGGGGATAGAACTCAGCTAACTTAGCTCCTTTTTTGAAAGGTTAATTAGATAGTTGACCAGAAAAAAGAAATGTGGTTAATCCAGTGCAGTGGTTCTCAAAATGTGGGCCCAGACCAGTAGTGTCAGCATCACCTGGGAACTTGTTAGAAATGCAACTTCTCAGTCCTACATCCCAGACTTGCTGAATCAGAAACCATGAGGGTGGGCCTCAGCACTCTTTTTTAATAAGCCCTTCAGGTGATTCTGATGCACACTCGAGTTTGAAAACTGCAGCCTTAAAATATCTCTTCTACTAAACCTAGGCACAATTCCAGTATTACTCCTAAAAAAAAAAAAAAAAAAAAAAATTCAGTTGTTTTTAATTTCCAATGTTATGGTCAAATTTTCCCCCAGTTGCCATGGAGTTGATTCTGACTCATGGTGACCCCTCTACTTTGCAGTTGGTTAGTATACAGTATTCTTTACAAGTCTTGATCTAAAGTCCTCCCCCCTCTTACTCTCTATTTTCTTATAACATTAATTGAAGAAACCTGGTCGATTCTCCCACAAGTTTGTATTTGCTAATTTCATCCAATGGCATCTTTTAACAGGCTCCTCCTGCTTTCCTTATATTGGTAGTTCAATCTATAAACATGACCATATTAATATTTTTTTGGCAAGAATACTCCACAGTGATCTTACATACTTCCATCAGTAGATAATAGTGTTATCTTGTCTCTCTTAATCTTAAACCCAAAAACCAAACCCATTGCCGCTGAGTTGTTTTTGACTCATAGTGACCCTACAGGACAGAGTAGAACTGCCCCGTAGAGTTTCCAAGGAGCAGCTGGTAAATTTGAACTGCCGACCTTTTGGTTGGCAGCCGATCTCTTAACCCCTGCACCACCAGGGCTCCCTCTTAATGGCAGCAGCTGTTAATAGTCTGTTTTATTTGGGGTTGCCAAATAGTGATATTTTATTTCTATCATTCCCTCTTCAATTATTAGCTAGAACACTTTATAAGGAGAACTCCCCGTCATCAATTATTTTGTTTTCCTGAGGTACACTTTGTGTAGGAACAGCACAATAATTGCTTGATTAGACCTGCTTTTATTTTTTTTAATGTTGCTAATCTTGACCTCATGACCTAGATGGATCTCTAAGCCCTTCATTTAGAGATTCTTTTCTTACAGGAAATTTCTGAATGGGTAAAGTTCATAATTTTTCTAATGACCCTGTTGCTTTTCTTTTCCCTTCCTTACTCCTCTCTGGTTTTGCTGGATTCCCCATAAAGCAGTGTGCTTAATAAATACTTGAATGATTAGTCAGGGATGGAATCTCTGACTTGCCAGTTAATATTTCCCAATACTATCCTGGCCTGAAACAGGAGAGGAAACTATATCGCCATTAGCTGGGAATGATTTTACATCCCTTTTGTGGTAATATGAGAGTATACCATCACCGTTTTTAAAAAATCTACCCAAGTATTGTTCTAAAGCAAATGAGTATGTAGACAACAGCAATGATTTGTAAAAAATCAGATGAGAAGGAAAGGGTAATTTTCTGTGAAATCCAGGGGTTCAGTCTCAATGTGGAAGTGCTTTGGGCTAAGGATAAGATGAGAATGAGAAAGTACAGAGAGTTGAGTATGATATCCCTCAGAAGTGACATTCTCAGAATTTTGCAGTTAATTTAAGATGTTCTGGAAGGGTATCCCACAAGAGGGAGCCAGTTAGAAGACATTGAGGGAAACAAAAGCTACATTATTTGCACAAGCAGGCATAACTCCAGACCCAGCTAGGACTGACACACAAATAAATCCTAGACCTCATGTCATCCGTGCTCACTGTGAGTGAACCTAGATTTAGGAGACAGAATGTGGAAGTGGCACACAACTAGAGGTCAGAAGACCCAGCTTCTAGTCTTGCAGATATTTACTGTCCAGCTGTCCTTGGGCCGGTCAATGAAGCTAGGTCTCAGTCTATTAAGCCACATGAAGATCCCTTCTTTCTCTAATGATTTACAAATCTTGGACTGTCATAGACCCCAGGACTATCAGATATGAGTAGACTCTTCCAAAGGCACACCTTCAAGATCTGAGAGGACAAAAGCATGTAATCTATAGTCCAAGTCCATCTCCTACTCACCCCTCCCCAGGTGTTTGGAGCAGGGGTGGAATCTCATAGCTGCTAGCAGAGTAGGCACATTACCTCCAAACTAAAGACTTCCCTGGGCTCCAGCCTCGTCTATTCCTACCTCCTAACAATATTTTATAGACATGGGTCACTGGCTTAGTAAAAACTTGCAAAAGCCAGAACCTGTATAAGGTGGAGACTTGTCGGAGAAGGAAAACTCAAATTATTTTCCACTAAAACAAGCAATAGAAAAGTGGTAAGACTGTACCATCTCAAAGGTGGAAAACTTGCAGGACCCAGAAAAATAAGGCAGTCCCATCGAGTTCCGGCTCTCACAGGTTTCACTGTAACATATACTGAGTTTTTTCCTATCACCTTGTTTTCCATCTTGTACACCTACAGATGTGTCTATCCTGAAAGATGTGAGCTCCTGAAGTGCAATGTGGACTTGGTTTGTGTGCCCTGCCCACTCCGACCCACAGAGCCATGAACAGGGAATACTTAAATGCTATTGGTGACAGTGAAGGTAACTGACTTTCCATACTTTTTTCTCTTTGTTTCCACTCTGTGATTGGACCATGAGCTTCTACATCTCTCTCCCTCACCAAGCCCTATCAATTTTACCTCTCAGATTCCTCTCAAACATATCTTGTTTCTCCATCTCCACTGCCACCCTCCAGTCCAAAACTACCACCACCTAAATTGCTGCAGTAACCTCCTAACAGGTCTCCCAGATTTTATTCTTGCCCTTCTCTAATTTCTTTTCACAGAAGCCAGAGTGATCTTTTAAAATCCCAAATCTTATCACACCACCCTTCTGCTGAAAACTAGCAGTTTCTCATTGCTTTTAGCATAAAGACTCAAATCCTTAACCTGGCCTACAAAGTCCTTGTGGTTTGACTCCCTTCCGCCTCCAGCCTCTTCAGATGTCACCGTCCTCTCACTCACTTCAGCCTACTTGCATTCTCTCTGTTCCTTGATCACGCCAAGTTTATGTGCACCTTCAGGCCTTTGTACTAACTGTTCCCTCTGCTCAGAATGTTCCTTACCCCGATCTTTGTTTAGACTTGTATTTGTCAATCAGGTTTCACCTAAAACTTACCTCCTTATACACCTCCTCACTTCCCCATCTAAATTAGTCCCCCTCCCTCAGCAGCCATTCTCTGTCACATTATTCTCTTTTATTTTCATCAGAGGCCTTCTACCTGCCTGATAATTTCTTATTTGTTTTTGGTAAGCTCCGTGATAGGAAGGAGCCATTTCTCTTGTTTGCCATTCTTTCCCAAGCACCTAGGACAGGAGATACTCAATAAATGTTTATTGAATGAATTAATGAGTGAATGTTCACAAGCAAAGAACTCAGAACTCCTTGCAATGGCATACAGGATGCATAAAAAGTAGCAATGTGAGATAAGACTGGACAGGTGAGTGAGGGCCACATTAAGAAGGCTCTTAGTTGCGAAGCTGAGGAGTCTGGATACTATTCTCTGGGTAATGGGGAGTTGCTAATGGCTTTCCAGTAGACACTAGGCATGATCAGCACTTGAGGAAGTTTGATTTGGTGGCTTATGTGTAAGTCATATTACAGAGAGAAAAACTGAAGGCATTGAGACAATCCATATAAAGGGCTTAGCACAGTGCCTGGCACATAGTAAGTCTCCAATAAGTGATCTTTATTGCCAAGCTTTGTGGCAGACACTAACATGTAGTTATTCCCAAGGTCTGGGGGCACAGTGGTTAAGAGCTCGGCTGCTAACCAAAAGGTCAGCAGTTCGAATCCACTAGCCGTTCCTTGGATACCCTTTGGGGCAGTACTACTCTGTCCTATAGGATCGCTGTGAGTCAGAATTGACATGACGACAACAGGTTTGGTTTATCATGTTTTGGCCCTTTTAATAGGGCTTCCCATCTCCAGCATGTCTCTAGACCCAGGCTCTCCAAGGTCTCTTAATTTCCACATCTAAGAGCCTATCATTAGTCTTCTTTCCATTCAACAACTGTTTACTTTTTGATGCCACTTATATATGCTTCTTCTTCAAATTCTCTTTCCCTTGGTGGTTGTGAGATGGTTCTCTCCCACATTCCTGGCTACTCCTTTTTAAGTACCTTCCCTGGCTCCTCTTCTTGGTCCCTTTAGGTGTGCCTTACCTGTTCAATGTTCTGTCCCTTGGTCCTCTTCCTTTCCTGTTCTACACACTAATCTTATGACTTCAACCATCATCTCTCAGAACATTAGTCGAGCCCGACTTTTCTTTTGAATTTCAGATCTACAACTCCAGCTGCTTGGCGGACACTTCCTAAGGATGGCTTCCTACTTCCCAAACCCAGAATCCCCAAATTACGTTCAGCAACTCCTCTCGAAGCATTTCTCCTGATCTTTCTCTTTCTGCAAATGACTCTTGCATTCTCCTACACACCCTTGCCAGAAACCTTTTGGTGAGCTTGGATTTCACTTTTTTTCTTGTTTCCTGTATTTTACTGGTGCCAAATCATGTAGTGTCTGCCTCTACACTGTCTCTTTTTAAAAAATTACAAAAGCACCACGTGCTTGTTAGAAAAAATTTCAAAAATACAGAAGTGACCAAAGTAAAAAAATGGAAATTCCTTTTCCCTTCCTCATTCTCTCCCCAAGTCTCACCCTCCAGAGGTCAGCTCTGTAATAGCCTTGCATGCCCAGTCTTGTTCTCAGCTCTTCTTTTGCATCCCTGCTGCCACCATCTGAACTAAAGGGATGGTCTTCCATCTGGTGTCCTTGACTCTTCCTTTCAGTTCTGTTCAACAAACATCTATTGAGTGACTACTATGCTAGACCCCGGAGATACAAAAGATATATGACAGTAGATTAAAGAGGTCCACATTTAAGAGCTGTATAACCTTGGACAAGTGATTTAGTCTCTCTGACCCTTATTTCCTTATCTATAAAATGAAGATAACCCCAGTACCTTCTTCATGAGTTTGGGTGAGGGTTAAATGAGATCATACATATGAAACTCTTTCTACAGTACCTAGTACATTGTAACTGCTCCATAAATGTCAATAATGACAATGATAATGGTGATAATCTTTGCCTTAGAGGAATTTATAATTTAATCGGGAGACTCAAAGAATAAGAATTATCTGAGTGAAGAAAGATGGGAAAATATTTTTCGGAAAAGGGGAGACAAGCAGTTTGACTGAAATAAAA